TATCTAAAATAATAAGAGAGATAATTAAAAGACACTAGGGCCATGTCAGCATTTTGACGAGCGTAGCGTAGATTCACAATGAAACCTTTTCGATGCTGGACCAAATCAATTTTGTATACATAATACGTACATCGGCCTAATCGGTTAACTATTCAGCTGGGTTACGTTTAAATTTATATGATTAGTAGTCTGTACGGTGTACACAGCCAGACTGAGCAAAATTCAAGATACAGAGAAAAATATTTTTTTATTTTGTAATATGATTTCAAGGAGAATTTTACTTTTGAAATATACATATATTTTAAAAACTTTACCAATAAGTATTTTCGGTTATTTTAATACTGCTTACATACGGTTTTAAAACTGGCACCTACTTCCCAATCTGGAATGTGATAATCTTACTGTGAAGTGATTTTTATGTTGGTAATATAAACAAACAGTCTTTGGGTGCATACGCCATGGAATATCTAAATTCATTAGTCAGTTCGTTTTTTGCTTTAATTTGTATCAGACTTAATTTTTAAAAAGATAACTTCTTGTGAAATATTTTTTCCCATATTAACCAATATAAATTATTAGTGTTTTAAGTTTTGGACATTTATTTTATATTTTAGTTGTTAAAAGTTATTAAGAACGCAGATAAAATGCCCCGATTATTTCCGAAAAAATCTCGTCGGGGTTGGAATTTACGAAAAACTGATTTGTAAGTTGTTGAGATATTATTTATTATTTATATATGTATAACGCTCAGTCATAGAAATATATTATTAAAGCTTAAAAATCTATAATCTAGAATTTTTTCAATATTCAAACAAACACGGTGTGTGACAATATTCGCATAATTTTAAATTCTTACAAAACATCGAATCAAAATATTGTGAAACAAAATATTAAGAGACAAACATCAAATAAAGAAATTTTTAATTATTTTTATGAATCAGGCCAATCAGCTGACTGGAGCCATAATTTTAAATATATAGTTTATAAACCATACACAGTATGATTAAAAAAAGAGGAAAAACGTTATTTTTTTCTTTTCTCGACTTATATTTTAAGATATATAGGTAGTTTATAAACCATATACAGTATGATTCAAAAGAAAACAAGAAACACGAGAAAATATTACTTTACATTTCTTGACTTATATTTTAAAATTTCGACGGTCAAATTGCGTAATTTTTTACTTTACCTACTTTGAGTTTACTAATATATATGAAATATATATGAAAAATTAAACTCGTTTTCTTACCATTCCAGAGGAAGAGTTTTTTCTCACATATTCAAAGTTTTCTATGGTCTTTTGATACGTACGATAGATATTAAGAAAATATTCTTGTCCATTTAAAATATTTAAATTATACAGTGTGAAAAGTCTATTATAACTGGCCCTATTAAATATAAAAAAAACATTTACAGAACGGTAGACAGTATTAAATTCTATATTTTAAAATTTGTTTCGAATATGCAGGGTGTTCGATAACTTCAGTCTGAAACAAAATTATCTTTTTTAAATGAATCACCCTGTATTTTATATTATATTTGAATTACCCTTGCTTTCTCCATTATTATCATATCAAATAGTATACAAGGTATTTCACACGCTATAATCAGTTTTATACAAAAATCGTATTGATTTAAATTTATTAAATTTTTAATTTTTTAAATTGACCACCCTTTTTGTTATAACACCATTCAAAAGTACCCTTATTTAAAAATACTTTCATTTGAGTTAAATATTATTTATATACCTAAAGTTAATATTTTTTGGAGATTCTTAGAAATGTTGAGTTGGACCTTTGAAAACCATCTTTAGATCTCCCTATTTTTTCTCCGCCTCTGAAAAATATGAACAAGGTGTCATTCAATTCTAAATAGCGTGTAGATGATTTTTGAAAAAAATCAAGAGCCGCTTGCAAAAATTGCAAAAGTTATAAACAATTAACTAAAAAAAAATAGGGTTTGGTTTTTTGCATATATATCAAAAACTATGTGACCTTTTCCAAATTTGAGAAAATATTCAAAAAGGAGAGAAATTTCCCATCAAATAACCTACCTCCCGGAACTGTAGGATCAATATTTATTTTAATCACTTTGCCGTAGAGTTAGTAGATAGTAGACACGAAAGAAATATGCCACTTAGAAATGTTACTAAATAAAAATAGCATAAATCTTTACTATTTTGTTATAATTCGACTATATATGTTTTAATTTAGGTATACTTTTAGTTACAGTAAGGATATGATTGCACTAGTGTTCTACTAAATGAAGAGAGTTATATTATAATTTTTTATCTATTCCATACTTTTTCAGTAGTTTTTATGTATTTATTAGGTATAATTCTCTTAAAAAGTAAATTTAAATTTGTTGATTGTAAAATATTAAATGGTTTCTGGTATTTTTAGTGATAGATATAATGAGAAAATGAAATGTTTAACGTTGCTGATTTAAAATAGTCTGAAAAACAATTTTCATGCGTTAAATTAAATTATGTAAGCAATTTAGTTATAAATAATTATAAAAAGTTGCAGCATGTTTTGCTTGTTAAGCGTGATCATAAAATATGTATTTTTTTTTAACAATTTTAATTTTATTTAATTGTATATTTTGTTTGTAATTTTAATTATTAGTACGCGCTCATACCTACATAATTAGAACTTAAAAACAAACTTTTGGGTATAATATATTTGCTCGTACATACAATTTGTTAACTTTCCCATAAATGCACTTAAAGAACGGTATATAATAAGCGATGCTATTTTTTTTGACAGAGGTAGAACAGTCCGCGCCAGCCCACTAGTGACAGAGGTGTAACGATGCGTCTAATCACGGCAGGCAGTCAGCCGATTTACGAGAATCTCTCCTTATTTTTTTTTTCAAATGCAAATATAATTAAGTGGCTCATCTTTATTTCAAAGGATTCATGTGTTAACGCACTCTATGTATCACAATAAAATTTCCAAATTTCCTCTTTTTATTTTTCTATGAGCGTTTGCATACCTACATACGACAATCACGTCCCGCCTTCCATTATTATTTGTAAACAGTCAGTGCCCAGAAATCTTGTTCGTAGATTTAATGACAGTTCTCCATTTTTTTTTCTTCGATTCCTCATAATTATTCATCAATGTACATAAATAATTAAGCTACACTGTTGTCTGTAAAACAGATAACGGCTACGTATAATAGGGACTCTCTATCTAATAGACATAAAAAACAAGTTTTTTTTTATTGTCTCAAAACGATTTCGCGTTGTAATGCGTTTATCTAATTGTCACAACTTTTAAACATTATACATTTTTATATATTATACATATTAAAGAATATGTACAGTTGTTATGGAATAAATATTTAAAACATAAATATAATATATTTTTTTACAAAAAAATTGAACATGTCTATTAACAATGTTCTTTGTCGTCGGATATCCGTATAATCAATAAATAATCCCATAATTAATTATTATGTTTGCTGTTATATTAACCATTCTGTAATATCATATATTCTCTGATATGTAATTCGATTTGGCAACATCGTAAAAATTTCGTCGGTCACGATACATCCAAGTGGGTAGATTCAGACGCGTTAATTCAATATATATTCCTAGCAGCACCAACTGGACTAATGTTTTAGGTTCCAAATTTAAAAATATTTAATAATTTAAAACATTTTTATTCACTTTTTACGATTATTCAGTGTTTAGAATAAATCTTAGGTAGTGTGTAAAGCAACAAAAAGTTATAATAACAGGAAATAGACTAATTTTGTACGTTTATAAAAGTTTTAACGATAATTTATTGTGAAATAATAATAATAATATTATTATTTATAAAAAAACTGTAAGTTTAAAAATTTTAGAAAAATTCTCCCAGTATAACAATGACATAGAGATCGCATAGAACAATTTTGAAAAAAATCTGATGAAAGATAACTTTTTTACTTGAATTTTTGAACAAAACATTTTTTTTCTCAAAAACGGCTTACCAGATTTTTTTCAAAATTTGGCCATTAGTTACTTATTTGATGAGTAAGTTAGGTGAATTTTTTGAAAATTTTTGAACATAAGATTAATTTTTTGGTCGGGTAAGATAAACCTTAAAGAAGGCACGAATGATGAGGTAATGATAATTGACCAAAACAAAGAATTAACAGATCAAGTAAATAATATTGCACCTAGGCAAGGAAAAACACCAGTTCCATGGCATATGATAGAAGACATTGACGAATTATGTTTTCCAAAGATTTTTGGGGGACATACATTAAACATGCCGAAATTTCTTATATCAAGCCAAGTCAGAGAGTAAACGCAGAGATCGCATATCGTGTGTACGTACTAGAATATTGTATATGGCAATGAAAAAATTAGAACAGACTTGCATTACAAGTGTAAATATATGTTTACAAAAAACAAAACAAACAAATAAGCTTAGTGTCGCCAATGTTTTAAACGCAGAGTTCGTAAACAATTTAGTAAAATTCGATGTAGGTTACAAATTTCTCAAACAAGTGAGATGTTCTCCTTCTTTCTGGGAAAGTAAGAAAGGTGGTGACCAGAATTAATAAAGACATTGATTAAACTAAATCACAGTGAAATCATATCGTTGGAAGAGGCCTTGAATTTAGATGCTCATGAAAAAAGTGAACTAACTCGAAATGAACCAGTAACTTGCACACGCTATTTTGACTACAAAGCTATCAAATTTATGTTATTATTAAAACAAAAAGATAGCACTTTTGGAAATTATTTGGAGGAAGAAAGTTACGAGAGAGTGAAATTTCAAATGAGAGGATCGCCTCACGAACATATTTCTTGTGGCTGAAAAATGCACCAAAATATGATCCATCAAACCCAGATAGTATCGAAGAATGTATTTCCTTTATTGATGCATGTCTTTATGACGAAAACGATCCTTTTATGGCAGTCCAACGACATAAAAATTCCAATACGTGTAAAAGGTAAAAAAAATTAACAAGAGGGTAGATTTAATTTTCCATTGCCCGTTATGCCTGGAACCATGATATTAATACCATTGAACGATCTCGAAAAATCTGTAGAGATGCGAGAAAATTTAATAAAAATTAGAAAACTAATGAACTACTTTTACAAAAAACAAGAACAATTAAGTTTTCAGGAAGTTTTAGACAAGTTGAAATTAAATGAAAGTCAATACATTAACGCATTAAGAAGCTCTCTGAAAAGAGTACAGGTGTTTTTAAAAAGAAGCAGTTTAGAAGTAGGTATAAATAGCTACAACAAAAACATATTGCACCTGTTCGAATCGAATATCGAAGTTCAATTCGTATTAGAAGAATGCGATGTTGCTTCCTATATCATTAACTACGTTGGCAAGGTAGATGCTTGCTTATCAAAATTACTTAGAGATGCTGCCTCCGATGCGAATAAGGAAAGCAAAAATATCAAAGATAAATTTTGAAAAATTGCCAATATGTTTTTAAACTGTAACTTAATGTCTGCTCAAGAAGCATCGTATCATGTTCTATCATTGCCATTATCGAAAAGCAGTCGACAGACATTTTTTATAAATACAAGCCCCATAAACGAACAAGCAATGATGTTGAAAACCACAAAGGAACTTGGTACATTAGTCAAAAACTCGACAGATGTATTTATGGAAAATATATTCGCAAAATACAGCAACCGTTCAACAACAATTGAAAATACTTGTCTAGCAGATTTTGTGTCTATGCATTCCAAGAAAAAGTTAAACCACTACAACGAAGACAATCAAAGTGCAGAATACCAAACTAGGCAAAAATCAGCTATAATCAGATACAGGCGTTATAAACTAGCTCAAGATCCAACCAATTGCTATCGTGAACAAGTTTTGTTATTTTTACCATGGAGAAATGAAATCACAGAAATAGAGAACGCCAATTGCGAAAATATTTACTGTACCAATGAAATTGAAATATAAGGAAACAGGCAGTAATATTCAATTATAAGTGACGAAATTCTCGAAAATGCACAAAATGAAATTAATAGTGTAGAACAAGTAGACATTAACGATTTTGTTGCCGATCAATTAGCGTCAGATCAGTAAGTAGATATTTTGGAACAAGAAAGCAAAAAAATTGTTAATGATAAGAAAGTTAATCGTTTTAGTTGTCCAAAAAGAATTTCAGAAAAAAAAAGTTAATGTACGATTTAAATGTTTCACAACGTGAATTTGTGATGCATATTTTAAAATGTATAAAAGAAAAACACATTCCATTAAGAATTTTTCTCCACGGTTCGGCAGTAGGCAAGAGCACTGTGGTAAATTGCTTATATCAACTTGTCACACTTTACTTTGACAACCTTCCGGGTGCAGAAAAAGATACTTTAATAGTTTTATTATGTGCACCATCACGTAAAGCAGCTTATCTCATCAACGGTGTAACATTACATACTGCATTTGGTTTACCGGTGTCTCACTTTTGTGGACAAATGCCAGAATTATCCGCTGATGTTGCAAATACCATCAGAGAAAAACTATTTAATTTAATCATTATTGATTAAATCTCTATGGTAGGCTCAACACTTTTAAGTCGCGTAGACACGCGTTTGCGACAAATAAAGGGCATAAATCAAACATTAGGTGGAGTATCAGTTCTTTTAGTGGGTGATTTAAATCAGCTGCCACCGGTTATGGATAATCCCATATTTAAAATTCCGGAAAATATGAAATGAAACAATTTTTTGATGGGATAAGTTTAAGCTTTTTGAACTGACGGAAATTATGCGACAAAAAGACGACAAACTATTTATCGAAGCACTTAATAATTTAGCAATAGGTCAAATGACTGTCGATGATATTAATCTAATAATATCCAGGAAATGCAGTGAGGCACATATACCTCAGAGCGCAATTTATTATTTGTAGAAAACAAAAATAAAGATTAATTTAATGAAACCAAAATAGACAGCAACCCGGTACTGAATATATTTCCGAAGCAAAAAACATGATTTTAGGAAAAGTTAGCGATGTGACCAGAAACGCAGTAATTGAATCGTTTAAATACAAAAGTACCGCTGACGTCAACAGTGTACCATACAAAATCAAATTTAAATCAGGCATAAAGTATATGCTAACAAACAACATTGATGTGGAGGACGGACTAGTAAACGGAGCATGTGGTATACTAAGATATACAGGGTGTTTCGGGAGGAAGTGGCAATATTCTAAAGACATGTCGAGGAAGCCAAAATAAGCTCATATGTTTAAGTCCGATTTTCATTCGTTTCAGGAATAATTGACTTTTTCTTAAAATGTCAAATCTCATCAATTTTTTGCCTATTACGACGTACGTTGATGTATTGAGCTTATTATGCACCTAATTCTGAGAGGGAAATCCAGAAAGGAAACTTTTAAAAGAATTATTGCCCTTTTAATAACTTTAAATTTGGCGGCTAATAAATTCTCACCAATAACGTTCTCACTATCGCCAATATTATTTGCAAAATTCCCTAACAGGGTATTTATTTTTAAGAGTTGGCTTTGTGGATTACGCGACCAGCAGCGGGATTACGAACGGCATACCCGTATCGTATAGGCCATTTTGAAACGATGTTGTCGATTACGAAAGGAATCCGATACGGATGACTGATGACGGATTCGAGTCAGTCGATAGCTAGGAAGATATCGAATTGGTAGATTGTCCTACGGATAGGTCCAATATGAATAGGAAGAACGTTTTGAATTCGCGCCAAAGATAAGCGCCATAAAGTCAATAAGAAACGTTTGTTATATTTCTTTAGTTATTAGTTTCAGTTTCAACTTTTTTACCTTATTTTTACTCGTGTTTTACTCTTTTGTTTTATCTTTTTGTACGTTTTTTCCATGTTTTACTCTTTTGCTTTGTTCTTTTATACGTTTTTTTTTTGTGGATACTCTTTTGTTGTGTCTTTTTGTACGTTTTTTTCGGTGTTTTACTCTTTTGCTTTGTTTTTTGTACGTTTTTTTCGTGGTTACTCTTTTTTTCTTATTTTATCATTTTGCTTTGTTCGTTTTTTCGTGTTTTACACTTGTGTGCTTTTTGTTCGTGTTTTTTAATATATTATGGCCTTTAAAATTTCCGAAAGTCATTGGCAGCTACTGTGTGCATTCATGGAAAGCCGTCCTGATTTCGCCACAGGTAAATTCACTGGGCCAAAAGGTAAAGCGGTACATCGGCAATTGTGGGAACAGTTATCCCATGAATTGAATTCGCTTGGCCTTGGTACAAGAACTGTGGAAAAATGGCAAAAGGTTAGCGTTTATTACAGACCTATAACGTATATTACTGTGTTAATTTCCATAAAACATTAAATTAAAATGTATTTTTCAGTCTTGGGCGGACCTTAAATATTAAATCAAAAAGAAAGCTACCTTGCAGAGACACGAGTTACAAGCTACTGGAGGTGGAAAACCTGCCAACATTAGTTTGTCACAATATGAGGAGAGAGTATTGGCAGAACTTGGCCAGTCTTTCTTTGAAGGAGTTGGGAGCGAAGAATGTGGGGTATGAGCAGTTACAGTACATGTGAATAAAGTATATATCATCTTCCAACATATATCTTCAGGTTCCATTGGCAGTTGAAGAGAAAAGTAAATTTGTTTCTTCAATTGATGAGGAAACACCTTGTAAAAAAATAAAAATAGATGTAGGTATCTTACATGAATGCATTATATTATTTAATCAGGTTCTTTACAGAGATTTTAATGGTTTTTACCTATTTTTCAGGTTTCACAACTCAAATTTGTTAATAATTTTTCAACTCCAACCATGGATTACAAAAAAAAAACGTAATTAAAGTAATTATAAATCCATTAAAACATTACATATTTTTTGAGTTCCAGATTGCTGACTAAATGTTCTTTCTTTTCAGGCTCCACGTCTTGTAGACTTTGATGATGGTAGTACGAATGACATTATAATTTTAGGAGAAGCTTCTACTTCCAAACATAATACAGTAGATGTATGTACTTTTATTACAAATCCATAAAATTATATACTATTGTTTGATAAAGGTTTCCTAATAAAAACATTTTTTTTTCAGGTTCCACGTGCTACAGGTGAGGATCACGACTATACAAAAAAAAAAAAAAAAGAAGGGAAACACAAAATGATAAGGAAAATGAAATGTATAAAGAAACGATTAAGGAACTCAAAATTATTAGACAGGAACTTGGAGACACAAATAAAAACTTGAACAATATAAATAACACTCTACAAGAGTTAAAGTATATATTTTTGAAAAAGTATTCATAAACAAAATAATTTGTTAACTTAATTTTATTTTTTAATATGTGCAATATAGTTAGGTAGAGGTATTATGGTTATTCATGTTTTATTTTTTTATTTCTATTAGGTATGTGCAATTAGTGATTAATGTTTGTTTTTGAATAAATGGGGAATGTGCATGTATTTTAACATTATTCTTTATTTTAAACTTTAATGTTATTTTTAAAAATGTAATATGGTTAGGTAGATGTACATTTTTATACATATTTCATTTATTTTATTTTTATAAGGTCCAGTTAGATATTAATTTGTGTTGGAAAAAATGAAATGTGCAATTTAACTTATATTAGGTCACTATATTAATTTTAGTATGTTAATTTGTTACTTAACTGTTATTTTCACAATATGTGCAAGTGCAATATAGAGGTATATTTTGTTCGTTTGTACGTTTATTTTTTTTATTTCTATTGTTTAATTAGTGTTATTAATTTTTGTTTTGAAACAAATGAATCGTATAAATTATTTAACATTCGGTTATTATGTTTATTTTAGTAATTATATTTAAGGCTTTACTGTTATTTTGACAATATGTGCAATATAGTTAGATGTATATATTTTGTTGTTGTTTTTTGAAATTTCTATTATGTGCGTAATTAATGAGATATGAATTATTTTGGAACAAATCAAATGTGTATTGTATTTAACAAAAGAGTATTATTATATTCATTTTACTATTTATATTTGAAACTATGTTATTTTAGCAATATATATGCAGTATTAGGTTTACTCATTTTTCTATTCATAATAATAACAGTGCTTTATTTAAACAAAAATTGTATTAATTTAAACAATTATTTTTTTTATATAAAAAATATTCTCTATTGGGTATAAGATAAAAAAATGTATTAAATATTTTAATAAATAAGTTATTGTGTAAAATATCTCTGAACATTTTGATTTGTTGGGAAAACAATATCTAAATGTTCTCCAATATCTTCCTCTTCTACCAATGGAATGTTTTGTTCCACACACATATTGTGTAATGCTGCACAAACTTTTATTGTTTTGCACACAAAGATAGGTTTATAACGAGCCGATCTCTCTTTTGCCAGGCACCTAAATCGCATCTTTAATAAGCCAATACACCTTTCTATCGTATTTCTGGCTCTCATTTGTGCATTGTAATATCTTGCTTGAGGAGTGCCTTCTTGTGCATTTTCAATGGGCGTCATGACTATTCTGGTTTGTGCATAGCCTGAATCTCCCACTAGCCAACCAAGTTCTCCTCTGTCACTAATGCCTTGAATGTAATTTTTTATTTGGGAATTATTCCATACGAAAGAGTCATGGCTTGATCCTCCAAAATTAGCCAAAACATTTATTATTTATAGCTTGGCATCACAAATTAATTGGCAATTAATTGCATGGAAACCTAAAAGAAAAAAATATTTTATGAATTTTATACTCTCCTTTAAATCACAGTAGAAACCTTTTCTGTTAATAAAATTGTGTTCATCAATTTGTGGCTTTAAAATAGCTATGTGGGTTCCATCAATTGCCCCTAATGTGCCTGGAAATCCAAATTTTTCCATAAAATCATTTTTTAATATATTTCGTTGGGCAACTGTTTCAGGAAAGCGTATTTTTTGGGGAACTACTATGTTTTCCAGTGCACCTGTAACCTCATGAATGCAGTTGTGAATTGCAGATTGGCTTAATCCACAATTATATTCCTCACCTACACATCTTTGATATGAGACTGTAGCATAGAATCGTAATGCTACAAGAACTTTTTTCTCCACTGATGTCCCCGCATTTGTCTGAGGATTTCTAATATGATTGCGTATATCTTCAATGATTTCTCTAACCAATTCCTTATTAAGCCTATTCACGAAATCT